CAGTCGATCTGCGCACGCAAGGAGGTGCTATTCCTATTCTTCTTCTGGAAAAACGAAAGAGAGCTTCAAAACAGACTGCAGCGCCATCTGAAGCAAAGAGCATACTTCCTGCGGACACTTTTTTGGCTGAGTGGCCCATCTTGTTATTTACTATCTTTGCCTCAATGCACTTTTTCTTCCGATGTAGCCCGCGTGCAAACGCAGTGACTAGATCTATGTACGTTTCGGCCACCATTTGTTTCGAGCGCAATCTTTCTTCCTCGTCTTCAAATCGCTGGCTCCTTTGTCCTTTGATTTTGGGGGAAGAAATTAACGTTAAATGGAATAAAGGAACGTAATATGCTCTAGAAGAATCATGGCTGGTGATAAAACTGGGGTGTTATCGTGGGATCTAAAACTAAAGGGATATTCAGCAGATTGGAGAAACCCAGGAACTCCCCGATCCCAGAGAAAGCTCGGCGCAGGCGATATGCTTTGAAAGTGATGCACGTCATGTTTTACGATCATAAAGCTGTGGTTTTGAACTGACCAGTTTTCAGTGGCACAACAGTCAGTGGTGACTAATATTATAAGAAGGTTCTTTAAATAAGGCTTAGACCAGCAATCAGACGAAAGCGGCCCAGTCTGCTGTAATCGTGAGATTGGTGGTTCGGGAGTTCAAGCCTCTGCTCGGTCCGACGTTGTGTCCTTGGGAAAGGCACTTTACATGAATTTACCACTTGGCTCGGTCCTTTCGGAGATGGACTTTAAACTCCGAAGTCCCGCCTCTTAAATAACCCGTTTAATAGTGTTGATAAGGCAGGACGTTAAACCCATACCATTTTTCACAACCATGAAACCTCAAACTCGCAGTTATGTGTCACCTACACCACAAATCTCTCTATCACATGCACCAGATACTTGTTCATTCGCGGCTTCCATGACCAAGAGGAGGTGCTTGCTGCCCGACAGGCGGTTCTGGAACATATTGACAGTTTTGGGAGCACCCTCAACAAGCAGCATCCAATCAGAGAAGGCGTGTTGAGAGATGGGTGTGGTCTCGGATGTGTGCCTTTGATGGAGGTTGGAAGTATATTATGTTACGCTGTCTGCAGTGTGGATATGCTTGTGCTCCCTCGATAGGGAGAGAGAGAGAGAGAGAGAGAGA